TGATTGTATGTGTATGCATACATACATGCATAATATATATATATATATATATATATATATATATATATATATATATATATATGTGTGTGTGTGTGTGTGTGTGTGTGTGTGTGTGTGTGTGTGTGTGTGTGTGTGTGTGTGTATGGATGCATATATGTATGCATATATATATATATATATATATAAATAGATAGATATAGATATATATAGTTATATATAGATATATATATATATAAACATATAGATATATAACATATATCGATATATATATAGATAGATAGATATGGATATGTATACATATATTGATATATATAATACACACACACACACACACACACACACACACACACACACACACACACACACACACACACACACAACATACACACACACCACACACACACACACACACACACACACCACACATATATACATATATACATATATATATATATATATATATATATATATATATATATATATATATTATATGTATATATATGAATGGAAAAAAACATGTTGATACGGTGTTAGAAAATCCACAAGGCACAAACTAGATTTATTCAAATATATGAGAAAACATTTTCGAAGTTCTCCTGGAATTCATCCTCTGGTCTGAAGGAGAAGGGAAAAGAGGGAGGATAAGAGAGAGGAGAGGCAATGCTGTAGACACGGGGCAGTTGTAGACAGGAGAACGGGCGCGAAGGGAGGTCAGGTAGGGTCGAAGGATCAGGTGGTCTATGCGAACGGTGGCCGGCATAGGGGAGAAGGTGGAGGATGTGGTAAGCCGCTGTTCAAGTTGAAATTAGGGAACAGCTAAAGGAAGATTCCACCAGTCTGTGGGCGTGGACATCAGCGGAATGGAAGACCGTAATGCATCTGATGGCCTGTGTCCCAATGGCAGAAGAGGGCGTTGCTGTTTTGTCCCCTGGATACAGCGTATATATGTTGATTTAGACAATTAGTGAGCTCACTGAACACGCATACATACATACTTGTGTGTGTGTGTGTATATACGGATATAATTACGCATACGTGTTTGCGTGTATATCTATTTGTGATTCTAAAGATTGTAAGACTGCAAAGTGTCAGTAAATCTTGAAAATGCTGAATGCAAGTGTGCCAATCAACAAGTCAACATTTTTGAACCAACAGTAGCTGTTGAGCTGACGTGGATGCTGCAATCCATCATTTGTCGCCTGTCAGCGCTGAGATAAGGGTTTGTTGCTTCAGCGGGTAATGGCTCTCGAGTTTAGCATCATTATCGTCCATTCTGATGTCCATTTCCTACTAACACTGACATCCCAGCTTTCGACCAGGAATCGAAAGAGGGGGGGGGGTACAACTCTACAACTCGGAACCTTGTTTACGTATCACGGACATTAGTGAAATAATTTTGTTTCGTAAACCCTACAATAAGTAGAAATTCAATGTTCTCTTAACTGGTTGATTATTAAATTAAAGTGTTACATGTGTATTCAGGACACGTGTATGTTACAGTTCTATAATATTCCGGCATGCTAATGACATTACGGTAATAACGTACTTTGTGAGTAATGAAAAAGGTTAATAGGGCATTTTTTCATTTTTTCTCGTTTTTATCTCTAGTTATCTCTTCATTATATTTGTTACCCTCAGGCTCTTTAAATGACGTTTCACAAAGTGTGACGAGTATATCTTTTCTTGTTCTCCATATACGAGTATGACTGTACTACTATGTACAGTACTTTCAAATATATTTTTCGGACTTTCTTCCTTGTATTGCACGGTTGATGGACCTGGCAAGAGTTGTGTTAGTTCTTCCAGTTAGATCAATTCTTAGTGTTATGCATTTTATGATGTTATTATGTTCTATTAGTGTGATTCATTGTCATTATTATGCTAATGTGTTAGAACTCGCGTGTGGGTGTGGATGCGTGTGTGGGTTTACTATATGTGTGGGAAGCCTGGAACTGCGGCATAAAAGTGTTCAAGGTTGGCGTGTCAATATTTTTTTCCTTTTTATGATGAATCGTAGCTGTTAATATAATTACTTGTACCCGTGTACTATCTGTTTGTACTAATGTAGGCATAAGTATTGTCCATTCATATGTTTATCTATGGAAAAGAAGATAGTTTATCAGCGTATATTCCGGACCATAATATAGAACTTGCAATAAGTATTTTATTACAATAAACTTGACATTTTGTTGTGTAATAATATCCCGGTAGACATGACATTCCGTCCACAATTTCTCTAGTTATAATGTCAAAGGTGATTTGGATTACTTCTCTCATTTCAATTTTTATTTTAATTCACTCTTTAACATTACTTTCCGAGAGACCCCTAAAAAAGTATCCAGTATTTAAGTCTTAAAAATAAGATTTTATAAAAAGTGGGATTAAATGCATTAAAAAATATGTTTTTCATTATAGTTAATCTTGTTTTATATTTATTTCTCTTGTAAGGTTCTTGGGACTTGGTAGTATGATAATCATTATGCATTGAAAATATATAATG